CAGGTGAATTGTAGACCTTAAATGGACGTAATTTGGCCCAATTCACACGAGATTAACATGTGCTATGAGCTCAAACCGCAGATCGCCAAGCTCAGGTTTAAGTTATGCAAAGGTACAGAGATGCAGATGGCGCGAGATTGCTCGCGCGTAGTCACCTACAACAAAAAAACCTGCTACTTCTAGCACCACACAATTCACCCGCTTTCAGGCACTGATTTAGGTGTTACCATGAATTTCTCTCTCGAATTTTTTTTCCGTGTTTTCCAATCTTGAACCGTCAAAGCCTGGTCTTTAAACCGATACAATTTGGAAAACACCCACCATTGTGGTTAAAAAAATAACAGAAAGCAATTGCCGACACCTAAAACAACCCAACCAGAGAAATTACACCGCTGTAAACATTGCGGTCTACATTCGTCTAAATTCCAAGGTACGAGAGCAACATGAAAACACAACGGCAAATATGCAGGCTATGAAAATCGCTCATCTATGATAAGTTTTCGAGAAGAGTAATCATTACATAAAAAATAAAATCACGATTTCTGAAACACTGTCTACAAAGACACGAGCAAAGATTCACCTGTACCGAGCGCTACTTTGAAACTTTGATTTATGACTTTTATTAATTAAAATTTTGCTTTATCTTAAAATGTCTTTTCTAGAGGAATTTCTTGCAATGTTTTCGCTATCATTATGTGCTACGTTTGGGAATAATTTGAAAGCGTTTCATTTATAAAGAATTCTTCAGATAACACTAATTTGATTTGACTCGGACGTCACCTTTTGTAAGAACCCGTTTGTTTTATTGTAAAAAAAGGTTCCCCGAAAAAAAAAAAGATAGAGCTTCTCATGGTAGGTTTGGCGGAAGAGTATTATTGCAGCTCTCTACCGACATTGGCATCTAATCTAGGAAATGTTCTTTACAATGTTTCGCTAAATTTAATTAATGATTCATGATCGTTCACATAAATTCGAATTACATTCACTTAACGAAAACAAGCCGATATATTGAAGGTTGAAACCACATATTTTACAATGTTTGTCATGTTTTTCTCTACATGAAAATCCTACAAAATCATGATGAATATTACCCCCAAAGGCACATATCCAAACCCACCTTTGTATGCAGAGGAGAGGCGCTTCCAATAGCCTTCCTAGGACTCTCCGACTTTTTCCGGAAATTAAGTCCTAAACCTTTCACAACTTCTGCCCACAAGCCTTCCAATTGCGAAATCGAGCTCGCTTTCCCTCGCAGAGAATCACAGGAAATGCATTCACTCTACGAACGATTCATTCAAGATAATTCCTCCTTCACGTCCCTTTGGAACAAACCGCTACTTCTATTGTGCACGGTCTTCTGAAGGTGAACGTGATAGGGCTACACGACAATATCTAATTGAGCCTTGTCATTGTCTAAAAGCTTATTTCACTTGCAAATCTCGCAGGTGCAGAAGCGAGCCGTGAGAAATGGTTTTTCCTTGGAGTCTAATTGACAGTCGTAATTATTTTCATCAACCAAATTAAGGTGTTTATTGGTTTAGATTGTCAAAAACAATTCAAATCTCTCCAACTTGTCACTTTCCAAAACGGCCGTTCATCAAAATCGAACCTTATAGCCGCAGACAATTTCCACCCCAAAAGGGAACCCACGGAGGAGTCTGCATTGAAAATTGTTAATTAGAGTAGTAATTACCGAAACTGTTTAAAGTCGCATCGGCAGTGGCCACTGATCAGGCAAAATTCACCGTTGCGATCGCGACAAAATTTGTGCATGTTAAGATTGTTTGCGGAATTTATTCCTCGCTAAAATCTCCAATACGTCGACCAGAAGGGCAGCTAAATTAATTCACTTGCTGATCCAGTTTTCATTACCGAGACTTCTCTCACGGCGAAACTAACAAAGGGAAGACAAAGCTGTCTTCAGAAATCATGGCTGTGGATTAACGTCTCGCACGACATATTTTGGCCGGTTGTGAAGTAGACAGTCGAATAATCGTCTTTATGGGAAACAACCACTGTTGATAGTTTACAGAATGACACAGACTCTTGTAAACTCACCCACGTGCCGTAAAGAACTAAATATCCATGATGAATTGGTTTAATTTACTCCCAGAAACACTCTTTCTTTGAAACGAACAAAGAGAATCAAAAAAAATTTTGGATTCCGACCGCAATGTTTAAACACTTGTTTTGATATCCCACCATGATACCAACGGTTGTTATGCGACACTCTGTCGAATCTTTGTAAACTGTTTAGCAGATATAATTATTATTTTTAGAGCATACCAAAGCTTGAAGACGATGGGTTACGGACTCCTACATGGCCGTAACTTTCGCGGAGCTTCGGAATACCACGAACTTCAAATCTGATAAAACGCCGAAGGGTGCGTTTAAGAAAACACAAGGCGGACGACAGCGCCACGCGAGTTTATATACATAAGGGACATTCTCAGCCTGAGTATTGCGAGTTCAAAAACATTAATAACATAACATCAAATTTTAATTTCGCTTTGAAGGATTGGAGAGAAATTGTATATAATGTAACAAGTGCTGTTAAAATTATAGGGAAATTATTTGGAACTCCATATTTTTGTTAGAAACAATTTTGAATGGTGTTTAGCAGCTGCGGAAAGCCACAAGAAAGCTTTAGTGCAGAGATTTAGCTTACTCGGCTCATAAAAAGACTGTAATAAAAGAGAAAATGCAAAATTAAGACTAGATAAACACTTTGCAGATGGCGCGATTTCTTCGTGGAAATGATAATTTCTTCCGGCAACCATTTTTATTGTTAGAAAATGGCTTGACATGCCAAAAACTAAGAAAAACGGCGCTCGGGAATCCGTTGTCTGCAGTGTACTGTTCAGTAACACGACAGAAATTAATTTCCTTGCATTTATTTCCACTTCAAGCTGACGCTACACGAAAAGGAAAAGATGGCGCTCGACATCTTCCAAAGACAAACAGTCTCGATGCGAAAAGTTAACTCTTGAACAAATTGCTTAATGGAGATTACCATTAAATCGTGGTAATTTATAATAATGGCTGTGCGCAGGCCGCGTGTATGGACCTTCTTTTCAATACCAACATGGAACCTGTTGTACACACGTTTCGGCGAAATAAAGAACTATTGTCAGTGAAACTAGTTCCGTGGCAAGTGAATAATGATATCTTCATGAAAAGTAAACAAAAGGACACGAGCGAACAACAAGAATCTCGTAGCTAATAACTGCAATGATTTGCCGGTCCCGTTCTTTTTCCCTGTTCCATTGTTGCGTTATTTTTTGCACTTTTTCATCATCAACTCTGCTTTTTCAGCAGTACCAACCGACGAGATTTGTTCCGAATTTTTAGCCAGTTCAGATGATCAGATTTTTAATTCATGGTGTACATAAAGGAACTGGGTGAATTGTTTCATTTTCTCACTTGTTTTTTCAAACCATTTTCTCTAATGTGTCACAAAATTACTAAAAAACAAGACGTGACTAACAATTTGGTTGAAGTAATTTGTGGAACACAAACCCATAGCCTTACTTAGTTTGCTAATACTTAAGTTAATGAAACACACCTACTGTAACACACCCGTCTGACTTATACATCTGCCAACTTTAACACATAATAAAACTGAACTACTTAGAATTGACTGCCCGAGAGAGAGAGAGAGAGAGAGAGAGATGAATCTAGAGAGAGAGAGAGAGAGAGAGAGAGATAGAGAGAGAGAGAGAGAGAGAGAGATAAAACCTTTAAAGTTTCCTTCTGATAAGCGCGTAACCTTTAAAATAGCTTTTTTCGTGAGCGTCGGAAATTCCAGAAACACAACAAACGATTTGATAGAATCCCCAATAATGTTTGTTGCATTAGCGCTACATTTAACCGACCGATATGGGCTAATTATTAAGACTGTCAATATCGTTTGTAATTCAAGTAAGAAGAAGGTTCGGCAATTAGTAACTTTGTTGTATTCCATATTCAGGTTTCTTGGTATTTAATAAGTTTGAGCGCCGCACGCGAGTAGTACCACGTGGTTTATTGTCCCGCACATGAACATGTCAATAGTTGTGAATGGATTCATTCATCTGTCAAGAAGTAACTACTGCGCATGATCCCCTATATTCAGGTGGCCAATTTTTTTTGTTGTTTCCTTAGAAGTTATAATGTCTGTCAATGCGGTTTTCCTAATCCCAGCGAAAACGATATTTTTCTGTCAGGGTGGTTACCTGCTTTTTGAATAAAAAAAAAACCTAGGATATTGTTGCGTAAGCCTCCGTAGTTCATTTCTCAGTTGTTCTTAGGTTTTTCCTTTTTATTTTTTTTTAACGATGATTGCGAACCTCTGGAAGAACGGTTATACAAAGAAACAAAAAGATTTCAAATAGGAAATTACTTCAATAACTAACTGTGATTCGAGCCACGCTGTAACACTTTGCCGCTAAATTCGCACCTTGGTGACATACATTTATAAGATAAAAATCAAAGACTTCAAGGCCTTGGCAAAACCTTGTTTAACTAAACCATTTTTTGACACACCTGACTGACACAGGCCACATTGTCAAAGAGGAAAGAAAGGAGCAATCTTGTGGATAGACAACAAACATGCACATTCAACTTGTAACGGTCACCTGGAGTATCTTGGACTCAGTGAAAAGTGCGGGGTTGATTTTCGCTGTGATGTTCTGAAGCTTTTTTTTAACTCTGCTCTGTGCATGAATGCTTCCGTGCGGCATTAAGACGGCGAAGAAAGATTTCCTCGTTGAAATGTTATCATTCTTGACGGGGATTTCCAGTTTTAAAAATGTAACGCCGTGGAAGTGGGAAAAAAAACTCCCTATCTTACGGCGGATTTATCTCCACTGAGAAAACACGAGACTACCAAACGATCGCCACGCAAATCCCAAGATTGCATAGTTTTGTCCCAAGAAACATTTACATCAGCCGCAAATTAGGGAAAATGCCTCACGAAGAGGGAGATTTGCGATACAAGAGACAGACAAACACCAACCTACCTTCAGAAAGGGCGTTTATGTGGATGAAAGAGAATAAACCCTGTCTTCCAAGAACTGCTTCTACAAGGGAGGTGCTTCTCGCGCAGGAGAAGATGAACAAGTGAACAACCCCAAGTGTGCTGTGCACCTGATATTGATTAAAAGAGAAAAACACTGATTTATCTGAGTGAACCAGTTTGTACCTGCTCCTAACGACGGCTCCATATCACAGCCTTTGTTCTTTGGTTGATTAAACATCTGCATTGCCAAATTTAAAGCAAAAGAGACACTATTTAATACGCTGATACATTCGCATTGTAGCTAGCTTACAAAGAGAAGCTGCGAAGTGTGCCCTAACTCTTTTGAGGAAAAACAACCCGTAGTAGTTGTGCATTTGTTTCATAAACATCATTGTGGCGTTAACGAGATGTACGCATAATTCTCGCAACGAACAGAAGGAAAATAGTGTGGAATACAGTGGAATACAGTGCACTGTAAAAGAGCAACCAAATCTCCTCTTGAACTTGAGGAGATTAAGCTAAGTGTCCTGATTCCTTACAGAGAGCTCATCCCAAAAGTCTCTCCCTATCGATCTCAAGTCATTTTTTCGCCTGAATGTAGCTGGTACTTCGGCAATTATGACATGTATCAACCTCGTGCATGGCCCAAGCTCGTAGAAAAAGCCTCCTAATTACGTTGCTGATGTTACGCAACAGATGTATTATGAAGGAGATAAGTTCAGGTCTAACTGTTCAGTTCTAAGTTTATTTCAGCACTGTGGTGCTGCGTCAGTGGGTGGTATTAAGAAATCATTTGGTTTTATCAGCCGTTGCGTTCATTAAATGTACATCTATTTATCTGACTCCTTAAGTTAATCTACACTGTAACATGGCTAACTCCTCAACTGAGGCTTTATGCGAAATATTTTCCACATAAAATCATGATAATTTTATCAGTAAGGGCTTTTAAATTTAATACCTGTTCATCACTGTGCTCGTCCTTCATGTGTAGATTGATCATAAACGAGGGGAATAATATCTTGTCCGGTTCAACACTGCAAGCGATGGTAATAACATCCAAAGGCATCCATCGTCGAGAAAACCACAATGTGTGGTTTGGGATTGAAGAAATACCGTTACAAGTCTCAATGGTAAAGACATCTCCTGGAATTTGGTCAGAATCTTTCAGACGCAACCTTTTAGATTTCACTCAATTAGTAGCACCTTACCTTGACCCTTCAAACCCTTCTGCCTCCTCTCCCCCCCCCCCCTTCTACCCCTCCCCCCCTACGATTACACGATGTGCGCAGTGCAACCTTCTTCAGCCGAGACAAGCGAAGAATACTAGTGGCTCCTGTCCTGCTGGCATTAAAAACAGCTTTTACTTATCATCTGTTTTAAATTCAATAGAGGTAGACACTGGCAAAAAATTGAAAGACACCAGGATGTCACAATTTGTGTCACACAATCTTTCTTCTCCGTTGAAAAAATGTCAGGGGTCATTTCGAAAGCTAGAGCCGTAGTAGATAACCTATCTTTTTCACTTTTCACTTTTTCATCCCTTGAGGGTAGGGGTATGTCAGAATTTATATCTACCCTCCTCAACTCTTTTAAAACTCAAGCTTTGCTTTTTTTCTTAGGTCCTCTAGGAGAACGTAGAAGAATTGGGATGTTCCGTAAGCGGCAGTCTTACAGCTTTGGACAAACGCATGCAATATTTATCGCCTTATGTCGCTTAATAACTCGCCTCAAAGGAGTATACACAAGTACAAAAACGCTTACCATCGTCTGTTTATGCCCAAGAATCTGTCTTCATCCTTCAGAATGCAAGAATCAAAGAAAGCCTCGACGAACACGCGCTTTGTGAAAGCCAATGGCCATAGTGTAAGATTTATCGATCGCAGCCTGAGTTGGTTAACATTAGCTGAGCCTTCAGCACTCTCAGTTCCACTTGACTCACTTGGAAAACACGCCAATAAAGAAAATCCTGGCTTTGGCATGTCTGAGTGAAAGTGAAGGCAAAAAGTCGAGAGCATTCTTGGGATTTTTCCAGCTCGACTGGAATGAGTGACTCACTAGACCCGATGACACGTTAAAAGACGTCGACGGAAATTTGATCCTGGCGTTTAAACTGACAGAAAATGCCACAACCAATTATTGTCGGTGTACCGCCGCCTATAAGAGGGTCTCAATGGGGTTAAACACGTGCCGTAACTCGGTCAAAAACTTTAGCCGTTAGGTGTAACAACTGACAACTTTTGACCGTTAGTCGATTTGTTATTGGATTTAGTTAGGAATTTAGTTTTATTGTCCGTACACGACCACATCAGCTTTTGCTGAATTTTTTATCGTGTTTAAATAAATGCTGTTGTTGTTGTTGTTGTTGTTGTAAACAAGAATTAACCGTAAAAAACTTTCTGGTGAAAACAATGGAAAGATATAAACCGTCAGCTGTAAATTGACCAAAACTTCAACCGTAGCCGTAGAAGCCATCACCCCATTGGAACTCTCCTATAAGACCTCATACCGTCATCTGTGCAGTCCACAGATCTCGTGATCGGGTCTCGCCTTACAGCACAGCCACTTATTATAACCAAGGCAGCTGCTTAAGGAAAAAGTTATTAAAAACTCGTGCTACACTACATCGATGGTCATTTCCACAAATATTCGAATAGTTTTTGAATATTCCGAGCTTCTAATGACCAAAATAAACATAACGCAATTTTAGAAATAAAAAAGAATATCTTTTTAGGCTGTTTCCATGCTTACCCCGCTATATTCTTGCAATTATCCAATGCAGCAGTGCGTGATTTCCCTCTTGGATCTCCGCAAAGATGCTTAGCGATTTTATGAAATAGTGAGGGAGGACAGGGAGAGCCTGACCGCAAACTTCTTCCGCTTTAACTAATTTGTCTGTGGGCCTCTGATAGCGGCTCATATAAACCCTTTGATACTTCATACAGTGGGAGAATTATCTTCAAAGATGGGTTAAAGATTAGATGTACCTCCTTCTTTTCCCCTCAAAAAACTAGAGATCAAAGAAAATAACATCTCTTTCCGCTCCACGATCTAAATTTCCCCTCTCCTTTGAAAAATTTGACCCGTTTCTAAGCGATTTCTCTGCATAGAAGATTGAAATTCTGGTAACTTTTGCTCCTCCGAGTTATCCACTTATTTTGCTTCGACGCAGGGTCATTTTGGACAGAAAGACACCGTGCGACCACTGTCACCTTGGTCTTTTCGACAAAACTCACTTAACTTATTACAAGAAACGAAGATTTAAATCCTTCTTATTTCTTGGTCATCTTTACCCGCTTTGGTCCTACATACTGATTGACACTATTCAAATCAGTTGGAGTCGTTACTCGTTTTCTACCATGTGATTGGTTAATTTTGGCCCCAGTCACAGAAGAGGCACTGTAATAATTAACAACATCAACAGAAATCAACTGTATTTACCTACAGCATATTTTAAAATGTTCTTTTAAAATCAAATTTATTTGCTTTTAATTTTAAATTCAGACATATTTGATAAATCTTCATACAAGTTATATTCAGCTCACTTTGACTAGAATTAAATCTCGAGAAAACAAGTAATATCCAGAGTACTTTCTGTGGCCCTGCATCGGCAGCAACTAGCAAAATTATTGCTGAATCTATCCTCTATGTTCACTCTGAAGTCAAAACGATACTTTAACTTTCGTTTTGGCTACTTCTATACTTCTCCTTCACTTTTTCTTGGTATCCACTGCCTAAAGCCCATCGATTTACAGTTATTGCAGCTCAGTTCTTATCCGTTCTCTAAACTCTCTGGTCGCCCGTGTTCTTGTTCCACATAGCTTTGCGGGAGAGGTGGAGGGGATCAGAGACAGTTTTGGAGTAATGGGGGTAGGGGTGAAGCGCTCTAAGACCAACCCCTTGAACAACACACCATTGGCTTGGATTCCAACACAACCGAAATCACTAACATTAATCCTACATACAGATGGGCTTTTCTATTCAACACAAGGTCATGTTAAGACCTTATATCCTGCATTCTGGCATGGATAGGCCTAAGCTTGGGTTATTCAGATGTAAATGGTTTCTCTGCAAGCGAAGGAGAAATTAATTGTTTCCCAAAAATAAACAGCTTTGTGTCCCGGTGACAACCGCATCTCCTTGAATATCCTTAAATTCATAAAAAAACGCTCAAAATACTCTTACGAAATTGCAGTTGAACAATGAGCAAGGGCTTGAACTCTGCCAAACTCTTACGTGGACTCATCAGTCCTCCTTGAATCTCATAAATTCTTGCTCCCTCAGGTCAACTATCGTTAATTGTCTTCTAAAACAGTGGTTACTTTAGTGTCGAGAATTCAAGAGGACTCGTGTGGCCTCAATAACGTCAGGGTCTGAGCACTATTTTAGCTCTGATCTCCTTTCATCTCACTGTTTTCATCAATTCACAAGTGAATTCTATCCACCGGTGTTTGCATATCCATCTGAATTCATGTTTGGACAAAAATGTTCCGTATATGGAACACAGTCGAGGTATTGACACCATGAACAGAACTTGGACTTTTTGTCAAAGGCAAAAAAAATACAAAAGACAATAGTCAGCGCAGCAAGAAGGAGCGCAAAAACTCCTTTGAAACAGGTATAAAGAGCCATGGTCTGGAATCGACGAAAGTTTGATCGTGGAAGGAACACCAACGAGGCAAAAATACCAAACACAAACCCTCCAATGTGCACGAAGTTTCCGATGTATGGTAACGTCCCTAAGGCTGTGACATAAAATAAAAAAAAAACATGTTTTGGGAACTGGTCATCATTTACCGACGGGGGGAGGGGAGGTTTGAAGGATTTTGATTGTGTCGGAATAAAATTCACCAAAAAATTTACCCCTCCCCCCACAAGTCTGTAATATTCTTATTCCCCCCCTCATTTTCTATAGTCCCCCGTTTATATTCTTTTGACGACGACTGACCCCCTCCCTTCCCCTTGAAAACCATGTGATCCACCCCCCCCCCCCAAAAAAAAAAGAAAAAGACCTCCTCAGTTCAAGAACTCCAACTTCAATTTCAACTTTTTTCATGTCAGATTGGCATGCAAGTAACAATAGCAATGAAAAAATATAAACACGACATTATTTCACGTGACACCAGATGTGATCACGTCAAATGACATGACATCACGTCACGTCACTTAACATCTCATCGGGAAATGATTCGTTCGAGAAGGAACGAACTATAAACTAAGTTACCGAACTTACCAAAACTGATCATTACCACGACCAGCACCATAAGAGCTTCAACACACGGTCTCTTCACTTCACGTCCAAATTGCACCATTTTAACTATCACTAAGGCAAGGATACCGAACAGAGCTCCCGAGGCACCAGCCTATAACAATTAATCGATAAAGAAAATACAGAATCAAAAAACAAAGAGAGCGCAGGACAAAGGAAAAAGCTAAGAACCCCATAAAAAGCTTAAGAAGGTAATGAAGTTTTTTCTACCATGTTTTAACCCGGAATTTTAAATCCGGTTTATTTTAGAGGACGCAGCACTTTTGTAGTTATTCGTCTTCTAGGAGAAAACGGTTCAGGCCTTAAATAGATTTCCCAATCGCCGCCGCTTATCCAAGCTTCGCTTTAAAATGAAACTTCAGCAAAGTAGATGTTAGTTTATTCTTCCGACTCGATATCTTTGTTCAACTGTCAACTTTAGAGATCAAGAAAAAGAGTTTCTTTCTGTTTCTAAATTCTCATCAACCGTCTGTTTAAGTGAGTATTAAGTTTTTAGGGAGAGGTTATGTGTGCATGGAGTCGCAAAATTAAAAATTGTTTGCGAATTCACCCGTGTACATACCTGTGGAGTCAGAGGATCAAAAAGTCCGCAAAATAAATTCCCACCGATGCCACTTATCAGGTAGATTAAACCAATCCGAATGGATCTAATGAAGGAAAAGGGAACTTCATCAAAAAACAACACAAAAAAACTTGTCTTCACAAAAAGACGTTCCGTTGTTGTGGCTACATACTATACTGTCAACAAGTCTGGTAAAGTTCTCCCTTATTTCTGGTAGGAAAGAGTGAAGAAATTTTGAAACCGGTAGAGCAATCCTGTTGAATTTGCAAGAATCCCAAGCTATTTTGGGTCGTAAGAAAAGGTATTACAGGCGGTAAATTTCACCAGTTACCGCCTGAGTAGGAGAACACTGGTCCAGGCGGTTTATTAGCCAGTTTCATAGCATATGCATGAATACTCTCGGGCACCTCTCATACGAAAGATGTAGTCACCTATCGAGCGAAGTGACCCATATCTGTGGCCGCACCTGTTCCCAGTTTCCGACTAAGAGAATTGCAACAGTCCCTGGCTGGGATGACAATCCATCGCAAATTAAAAAGACAAAACTATCACTTACATTTACTACGTGAAAGAGCTTTCGAAATTGATTGGGCGACGTTAAACCGCACCGGAAGTAGTTATGTACTACTTCCAGCCAACGGTCGCCTCTCAAAAACGTCCTTGCTACTAGTTAGCATGGGAAAAACAAGAAAGGAAGAAAGAATGACAAGAAAGGTAGGAAAAAAGAAAGACAGACAGAAGGGAAGAAAGAAAGACGAGAAAGAGGCACGGTTTTCAAATTCAGAGTACCGTTGAAAGCGTTCCAATCTGAAAACTAGACTATTCTATAATTTCGTGTAGTGCACAAAGTTTAAAGATAAAACATCACTACAAAAAAATTTCAACTACTAGTAATCTATTTTGTATGAAAAGCCCTTGTTAATCATAACAAAGGAGACCCACCCTATCTCTCTTTCAATCAAAATTCCTACAGGAATCTGGAAGCTGAGATTTGCAATTAGATGAATCACTCCTGAAAGAAAAAAAAAATTCATGACACTCCCCTTTATTTTACAACTACATGTAGAACTTAGTGGGGAAAAATCGAGCTCTGTTCTGTTTAGCCGCGGGGGGGGGAAGGAGCGAGTGTCGCTTTCGTTAAAAGGGGGTTGGGTAACAGAGCATTATTTTTCCATTTACAGCAGGGACAAATAAAAGTCACTCTCACAGTCACAGGTAGTTTTGCAAGCACGCCCTCATTAATAGCGCTTTGGCACAATTGTTTCTTTGCTTGCAGAAAAAGTGTGACGTCTGAACAAAGGGAGCAAGCAAGAGAGATGAAAAAAAATGGTACGTATTGTGCATACAAACTACCCACTGCCCATTCCATACTTCAGATGGAGAGAGAAACCCTGCTTATGAAACCGAAGAGTTAAATCTTAGACCCCGTTTATGATTCAAGACCCCAAATATAGCTTGTCTGGTCAAGTAGGAATGCCCCCCTCGCTGAGAAGGAGGTTCACAGACAGCAAAAAAACCTTTGAAACCCAAAAAAACTTACCGAGGTGTAAAAAGATTGCCGTAATCAATCTGTACCACTGCTTTCCACCAGTCTCGTTCTTCACACCACTCATTCCACAGATACCATCAAGGCAATTCACCTGGCTACAGAGGGTCTACCCCAATGTCAACAAGGAAACATGGAAAAGAAGTCAAATTAAGTTTTATTATATTGCTGACAGTGCCTGTGGCCAATAAAAAGCGAATCTTGTGTTGATTGTTCACTCGAGCGGGAGAGATGGGCCCATCTTGCACGCTCGGGATTGCTCGATTTGATCCCGCGCAAGAAAAAAAAATGACTTAAAGCGGACATATAAAGTCAGTATTTCTTGGACAACATCGGCGATAAGAAAAGCAGAAGCAGAAAAGCAGTCAAAATAAAGAAAAAATAAACGACTCTCGTGAGTTTATTATGCTACAAAAACAGTTGGTTTCTTTTGAGTCTCTCAAAACATTTAACAATTATTACAGTGTAGCTCTTAATAGAGCACTGATCTTTTTGTTCCAGAAGCCATCATAGACCAAGCTTCGGTCAAGATGGATGGGTATTCGGTCATTTCGTAACCACAGTCATTTCGTAACCAGTTGTTTCATACCCAAATGTAGGCAGTTTTGTTCACATTTTATTTCTGGCTTCGGGTATGCTCAGATTGCAAATTACCACTGACAACAATGACTGTCTTCCTTTTAAATCTATATAGCAATGGGTGATACTTGAAAAGAGTGAAACCATTTGGCTAGTTAATAATGGTTTAATTGCACTTCGTTCTGTGCAATTTGGTCTGAAATCATATGCGTGATTTCAAAACGAAAGACTGAAGCGCAAGTTTGATTTGTAATAACAAGTATGATTTTTGACCACAATTGCTTAGCATGAAGTCCAATTATCACCTTATCACATCCATTTTGAGGTCACAAAACTCTGCAGTCAGTTGGATACAGGATTTTTCAGTCTGTATAGATATTTTATTGATCCAGTACTGAGTTCAAGATTTTTAAAAGTTGCAAAAGTTTTCACTAATTTTCATGTAATTTGATTGGTTGTTGTCAAGTGATTTAGAATAGCTTTCCTATTGGCTAGGAAAAATATGCAATTTAGAGCAAAAAAAATATCACAATTTGTGAATAAACTACACCAAAGAAGGCCAATCAGATTGCAAGGATCACTGGTGATTTTAAAATGGATGTAATAAATGAAGATACTTTCAAAATTGTCTTTTTTAACAGAAGGATAAATTAAGACCTATAATTTAAAGTTATTTTAAGCCTTGCTTCATAAATTTTTATGCAGGTTGATGTTCCTCTAATCTATTCCAATTTAATCTGGCAGCCCACTACCCATTCACTTTTAGCTAAAGAAGTCATCTTGGGGACATGTTTTAGCTCAGATTACATGAGGGGGGGAAGGTTCTAAAATCATGATCAAAATTTAAAGGTAACTGTAAAAATGATTCGTTTCATTGAAAAAAATTTCAATTTGTACCTGGTTTTGATGCCAGTAACCTCCCATATATAGACAATACTGCTCAGAGATAACCTCACACTGAGAGTAAAGTCCAAGACAACAGGGTCGCAGGGTAACACCATGTCTGCAGTAATGACTATTTGGACTTGTACAGTTCCCAGTGTCAATGATAATACCTGGTAGGCAACTTTAAAAGACAATTGCACATTGATTTTCATTGGCACTCATAGCAGTAAATGTGACAACAACAAAAAAATAACCATAAGCAAGGTTACTAATAAAAAACTGACCAATATGATAACAAGAAACAAACAAGGGATTCCATCCAAATTGCAGATTTTTTGACAAAGTACATGTGATAGCATATTCCCTCAGCAAAACATTGATAAAATGAATATGGTGCCCTCTAAAGAAAGCTCCCTTCTCTTCCCTTGACTGGAAGAAGCTCTCAGCTTGAAATTAGTAAGCCAGTTCTGTGGGACTCATTGGAATGCTTGACCCTTTAACCCCCAAGATTGGCTGACCTCTTATTTCTCGTTACAGTGTCACCCTTAAATTAAATGTAATGGTTATGAGAATGAAGGCAATGATCACCAATTTAAGAAGCACCTGATTTTCATACAAATTCTCCTTGCCAATACCTTAGGAAATGTACAGAGAACAGTATGGAGAAGATACTTATTGATGTTAAGTTGCAAAGGGCTCTGCTAGATTACCAGTAAGTGCTACTTTAAAATAAACCCATACCTTGAATTTTTCACCATTCCACACTCCTCATGAAAGGAACAACAAACATAATCGGCTTCTTTTTCTGATATATTTTTAATTCTTTCTTCTACGACCTCCAACTTCTTCATGCACTGAAAAAAACATTTAATGAATGCAATTATTATCTGCCAACAGTTTTTTCCAGGGAGTTGTTCTTGACATTTTGGTCAGTTACCTTATTTTTAGTTTTGCCACAGTGGTTCCACTTTAACTGTTTAACTCCCAAGATCTCATTAGTAATTCTCCTTGTTGTCTGTCATATAGTTCTTGTGATGTTAGTTTGGAGAATTTGGTATTGGATCAACAAATTATCCCCTTGTTAATATTTTTCTTTACTCTCATCACTTGTCTGCTTGATATTGTTTTGATATGGTAAGGAGAAATTTTGTCTTGATCACTCATGGGAGTTTAAGGGTTAACCACTTTAAGTGACCATTCAAACAGGCTGTTGGGACTCAGCCAAAGGTGACCACAACTGCTTAATAGAAGTGAAAATATGGCACCTAGTCTTTGCGATGATTGCATGGGTTCTCAGTATAAGATCCCTTCATTACCTTCAAGTGCTGTGAAAGTGCACAAAACATGGCCAAGAAACCTTACAACTGAAAATAAAAAAATGTCTACCTGTTTGTAAATTTAACCCTCAAACCCCTAAGAGTTGCTGAGATCAAGTTTCTCTTTACAATATTTGCTGATTCAAACTAATTAAAGCTAGAAGGATAATGAAGATGGTCAAAAACTAAAGAAGCTCTTGATAATCAACCAAATTCTCTTCATCAGTATAAACTGAATAGCAGGAAATATTCTTAACTCACCGGACCAAATTTAGCTCCCGTCTGAACCAGAAAAGATGAATTAGGTCCAATGAACCAGTTGACCCCATGATATCGAAAAATATCTTGTTTATGCACTGAATCATTTGATCCTATGTATCCAAATCTGTCAACTGATATATTTTGACGTTCTGGCTTAAAAGCTATAGTCTCCACTCCACCAGCAATGCAGATGTACATAAGAAGTGCCACATTTGCAATTGTTACTAGACATATAAAGTAAGGCCGATGAATTTTCCTTGCAGCAGGAGGCTCTTCATTACTTGTGGATGTTGTATCAGAATATGCATGTCGTCTGTCTGGTCTGGGAATGTTGTAATTATTCCCACAGTAGGAATACACAGAGGTTTCATTAAAATCATCGCTGATTGATGATCTAGAGTAGGGATATCTATTGTGAGTTTGACGACCTGTTGAGAGATTGAAAGATCTAGCTAAAAAAAGTTACTGGTATCAAAAGGTTTTGCCCGGTCACAAGTTTATGTCCCCTAACACTTAGGTGAGTTTGCCCATTTATTGACTTAGTGTGAGGTCAAGATGGCTGGATATTGGCTGAGTTCTTTTTTGTGTTTTTATGGACTGAGATAAAGTAAAGGTCCATAAAAACACAAAAAGAGAACAAGGTTACTATCCAGCAAACAGATTTCCCTTAAATAACAATCAAGAATGACTTGTTTATTTTGAGAGCCAATAAACAAAGCCAACACAGTGTTTGTAGCACAATAAACCCACCACAGTTGTTTGTGTTGTCTTTGTTTGGACGGCCTTCTACCCCTTTTTGCAACTTCATCGCCAACATAGTCCAAAAGTTACCAGTTTGTAATTTCACTCTATGAATTTTTTTCTTGCACGGGATCAAACCAGGCTTCCCAAGCTACCCTACCCAGGCAAGATGGATCTGTCTTGCCCACTCAGGAAGCCTCACAACTCAGGATTGGCTTCATATTGCCCTTGGGTGCTAGCAGCTAAGTAACAAAACAAGGTCTACCCCACCTTTACCAGTTCACACACAAATTCCTTTAACTTGTTTCCTTGCAGTAGAACATAATTATTATTATATTTATCCATTAAAATAAAAACTTTACACTTGCTACATGACTTATTAACCTAAGTGACCAAATTGACAACTTAAATCACTTTAAATTTAGTGGCCAAGGTCTTTTCTCTGTAATGTTATGTAAAGCAATGTAATGAAGGATTTCTATAGCCCATATCTATTAGCTCATGGCACTTTACAGCAATTTGCAGGGGACTTTGGCCAGACTGCATTGAGCCCTTAACAATTTTTTATAAGTATAATCCACACAGATAAAAAAAGCTGTGAGTGCTGATTCAGGCCTGCTCAGAAATGATAAGCATAAGTATATATTAAAATACTGGATGGTGTTGAAGTGTGCTGAATGATTGGCTACTTAAACTCTAATCATCCTTTTTTTTTCACCTTTGAGCAATATGCACAGAATTTGCACTAATAATATTGCAATAATTGCAGGAATGAAGGAGTTCAAATGATCTTTTTGTGCTGTTTTGTCTCACAGTTTTATTTTATACTGAGACCTCAGTATTCACCTCAGTGTTGGTGGCTAGAAGTAAATATTTACCTCACCACTTCACAGCTAGGTAAATATCCACCACTTAGTACCTTCACTTTGGTGAATAGTTATTACTACAGTTATTAACTTCACCTCCCAGCAACTGAAATGTCAAAACCTCACATCAAAAGTCTACTTTTAGTCATTTTTCCATATAATGATAGAAAGAAACCAATTGTGACTTGATGCGAAAGCGTTGTCAATTAATAAAAGTAGATGTAGATATTCTAAAACGATTATTTACCAAAGTGTCAATGAAAGTGGTGGATATTTACCTCGCCGCGTTGCAACACAGTGAATATCCTCCACTATTCACCTCCACCACGGTGAACAATTGTTGAATATCAATGAATCTTTACATGAAATTCATAATTTTGACAGGACTGCTAAACCCAACATCACCAAGAAAACGCAAGGCAAGATTTCCTCACAGCCCCATACTTCATTGGGCTTAGAGTTCGTGCATAAACAAAGCAATGGCGTAAACGATAGATTGTGTAAATTTATCAATATGCTTCTAAAGGGCAATTCCAAACGTTTACTATATTTTGCCTTTGGAACTACGGCTCTTTTCAGAGTTGGAAGAAATATATCTAAAGGAAAAATAATGTTGTTGGATAGCTTCAGAAAGTTCAATTTACGATAACATCAGTAAATGTCATTTTAACGCCAGTGAAGTGCAGACGTAATCATCATGTTACGATCACGAGACATTGACATGTCGTAGTCTGCAAGTCATGCTAAAATTCCCCTTTGCCGAAACGAGTCACTTGAATCACCTACTTTCTAGACCATATTTTTTAACTGGAAGATACAACGAAAATAACTACTTGTCTTTTAACACAGTTATGCATCACAAAATCAGGCCCACAAACTATATTTCTCAAACGTGAAGTTTCTCTCGTCTGATCAATGCTCTTGATTTCAGATTACTGACAAAGAAACATTCTTAGTTGATAATGAATTTTAAAGGTATGTGGATTAGATTCTCTTCTTGTTTGACTTGCGCTTAGATTTTGTCACTAAGATCACAACAAAGTACTGCAACCTAACATTATAGAAACGCAGTATTCGCGAAATAACCTTTTGTCGTGTTGAGCGGAAAACCAGAGGAAAAAATCGTATCTCATGCTTCATACCTGATTTTTTTACTCCAAGAAGTGGCTCTCGTTCCATGCTTTCCATTTAAAAGAAGCAGTTCAAATCCACACCTCCAAACAGTCACCGTTACATCTAAACTGAAAGCTGATTAGACACTTTCGATTCAACTCAGCCTTCCCACATCCTCGCTCTGATAGTATGGAGAAGATAGTAGCATATCATGCATTATGAATTAAACACACTTGAAATTGAAGGGATTCTTGGGGAGAAATTGATAAAAAAACATATTATTCACAAGAAATAATCATCATTCTATTCATTTTGAATTTAGAGTATTAATAGTTTCGATTTAACGTTATCAGTTTCGGAATTTCTTAACGGGAGAGAAATCCTCTTGATACACTTTGGGCATACCCACTAGCAAGGGGGGGGGTTGGCAAATTGAAAATTTCTTCGCTTTAAAAAAATCCCTTTATCATCAAAATGTAAGGCTGAGTTAAAGTCAGTTCGATAAAAAAGGGGAATTTTTAATTAGTCTTCTTTATAGTAAAGTTCTTCTTCATCTTGGTTGTTTTCATCATTCGCTTAAGTGCCAAGTTGTCACCCACTCCTCCGTGAGTATAATCTTTACTACATCTTGTCTAAAGTCCAGTCTTCTCGCCGACAAGTCTGTTGTCTTGATTACGGCGTCTTCAAACCAGGCGTGAGTATTTGACGCTGAAGGAATTCTGAGTTTTGCAGACTTGTATTTCGTCGTTCTTTCGTTCCTTCTACTCCTAGAGCTTTAGAAACGTGAATGGAATTCAGTTCGGTAAGTTAGCTACCAATTTATTTGTGGAAAATTTATGTTTATAACGTGGTCTTTTCTTTGAAGCCTCACTGTGAATGTTTTTTCGCGCCATCATATGACCAGATAGTTCCAAATAGTTCGTTATTTAATAAATGTAACGATTTTTAATTCGCTAGCTAATAATGAGTTTTCTCTAAGTTTTGCACAGTGTGAGCTTTATAAATAATTTGTCAGTGGAATTTGTTGTATTTAAGTTGAGCTGTACGTTGAGCAAATGTTTCATTTATGCTTGTCTAAATTTAATTTTGATGCACTCAATTGATTAATATATTCACTGTGAACTTAATATTTATTACATTTTTTGGATATTGAGTTCAAATATCGCGAAAAAAGGACAGAAAAAAAGAAACTATATATGATTATCGGTAGTCAAGGTACAATTTTCTTTGTTTCAATCAAAATAACATTCAGGTGATCATGGTAAATATTATTGATCGAACTTTCATTTTCTTACACTATGCTCATTCGTTAATGAACCTAATTGTATCTCCATCTTTTAATCCTTGTCTGCATAAGTTGTAGCTCAAATGAGTCTGCAAGTTACCATTTCTATTGATAAAGAAAAAATTGTAATGTTTCAATACAGTCTAAAATTCCCAAAACAAACGTCCTCTTCTAAAGTGGCTAAAATAGGTGAACACTTTTATTCGTATTTTCTTTTCTTTTTCAGCTCCTCAAATGAAGTTTCTTGGCAATTGTTAATAGTCCTGGATCATAATTTGTTCCACAGAGGAATGATAACTTCTAGGATAATCACCACTACTGTTTTATTATGGAGTGGCTTTCTCAAGGTAATTACACAGATGTTTCAACAAAAGCTGGTTACCAGTCATCTGCAACTGCCTATAAGACCTCTTACCACTGTCTGTTTAGCCTGGAAACAGGCTCTTTAGTTTGGGTTCTGCCTTTATGGCTCCTATTCAGAGCACAGCAGCCTTAATTACACCATCAGCAGCTGTTATGGAAATAGTTATTTAGTTCCTGAATAATACACCCAGCTGGGAAATACTGGTGCAGAAGAGGAAGAAGGTCACTGTAGAAGTTCTTTCTGCATTCCTCTTTGCAGTTCTTACCTCCTTTATCAGCTATGATGAAAAACTTCACAGGATCTTTAAGGATCTTTGAAAATGAAAGATCCTTGAAGATCTTGGCCAGAAAATTAAGGATCCTTGAAGATCTTAACAATAATTTTAAAGATCCATAGAGACTTTTCAAAGATCATTATGAAGATCCTCTGTAAGATCCCAAAAGGTCCTCATGAAGATCTTTCAGGATTCTTAAAGATCTTTCTAAGATTTTACAACTCAAAGAATATTTAACCTCTTAGTTGTTCAGGCGATTATTAAAAAAATTCTTGCATCAGTCAATACATTATACCAAAGTGCTGAAGCTTTAGTTTCAAAATGGCAGATATATAGCTTTTTGCTGCCTCAGAAGAATATAGAACAGATAAGATGAGCATCATTTCTATCTATTACCTGAGCAAATACACTTAAAGAACAGCATTTGTACTGACAGAGGCTCAGTGAATCATTTTTGTTAAACCATCCTATCAACTTTGTCTATATCAGACAACGTCATTAATGTTAAGACAAAGGCATGAAACAATGTTACTTGCATGAACATTATGCAATATTACATTAGGGGTTTCCAATATTAGGGTTGGTATATCTACCTTCAAAGATTTGTTAAATTTCTTAATTTTTTTTTAGGGTTGTGATAGTTCCTGCTTATCCACCTCATGTCTGAATGGTGGTACCTGTGTTACAACAGCTAGTGGACAGCAGGTGTGTCACTGTGCAGCAGGATTTACTGGAAGAAGCTGCGCAACTGACACAAATGAATGTGCTGCACATCCATGTCATAACAATGGGACGTGTATTGATCAGGTACTTAAAATCTAGAATTCTCTATTGTCTTTCATGTTGTAAGCCCATTCCTGGAATTTCTGATCTATATTTATATCAGAAGATGAGAGTCATACAGTGGCCTAATTATTAGCAAACTGTACTATATGGGTGAAAGGTCGAGTTCAAGTCCTGGCCTGGTTATTGTTTGGGTTCTTGGACAAGACACTTACATGTACCTCCTGCAGTGCCTCTCTTTATTCAGGAATAGGTATGGGTAATGACTAATTGTCTGGGATTAGCATGAAGAATTGTATGCAGGTAACATGCAAACTACAGTGTACATGTAGCATCTCATCCAAGGTGGAAGCAACACTCTTAGTGGCTTCACTTCACTTGGGTGCAGATTATACCTTTTCTCTCACAGCAGAAGCAGTAGTTGAAACTTAGTAGACCCTAATAGTCATTCCCCTAACAATTTGTCAGTTTTTCTTGACAGCTTGCTACTCTGTGCTATGATTTATATCTCAAAGCCAAAGATAAAAACAGTGAAAGTTCTGATGAAAGGTGTTGCCCAAGATTGAAATACAGGTCACTAAACCTAAAGCTTAATTGTTGGTCAACTTAATTTTAAAGCCAAATCCGGCATACTGGCTACCTGTTAGACCATTGTCTATCCTCAACTGCTGGTTCTACCAGTAGAGAAGGGGAAGGAAAGTAGTGAAGTCATGTAGAAGTTAATATCTTATGGAGTATAGAACTAAGAATGGCTAATGATATTATTTTTCTTAATTTTAGGTCAATTCATTTCAATGTGAATGCCGTAAGGGATTTACTGGAATTATCTGCCAGACAAACATTGATGACTGTCAAGGCAATCTATGTAAGAATGGGGCAACATGCCAAGATCTTGTTGCTGATTTTCGCTGCCACTGTCAGCCTGGATTTGGGGGAAGGTTTTGCGAGATTGACATTGATGACTGTGCAGAGTTACCTTGCCACCACAGTAGTACATGTATTGATGGAGTGAATGGGTTCTCTTGTTCGTGCCTTCCAGGATACACAGGAGTTCTTTGTGACATAAATTTCAATGACTGTGGTAGTAATCCTTGCCAGAATGGAGGGATATGTGCAGATGGAGTGAATGATTATCTTTGTGTGTGTAAGACTGGTTTCTCAGGAAAGAACTGTGAGAGGGACATAGATGATTGTGAGCAAGCACCTTGTAAAAATGGAGGTGAGTTGATTTTGTGGTTCATACTACAGTTTGAGATATTGCCCTAATTAAGAACTCTGCCAGTTTACCCTCTGTTCCAAAGATATTTTAAGCTAAGGAATGAGCACAATCCATACATTACTGACACTGGTCAGAAGTGCTAATGGTAAAGCAAAGGAACCATCAATTGAAATTCAAAATGATTTGATACTGCATTCCATGAAAAAAGCCTGACTGAGTGAAGTTGCTGTGAAGAAGCCTTTATAGTGGTTTAAAACCTGTCTATTGTGAATCACCATAAAATTTCAGCTTTTTTTTTTTTTTTTTTTTTTTTGGGGGGGGGGGGGGTGACTGGGGGGTCCCATTTGTGTCTAAGTTGTAACCTTAATTAATGCTACATTTTTTGCCACTAGGAACCTGTCACGACCAAGTGAATGATTTTTTGTGTGACTGTGCAGTGGGCTTCAAAGGAGGAAACTGTGAAGTAAACATTGACGACTGCTTATCTGCACCATGTGACAATAATGCTACATGTGTTGACTTAGTCAATGGATTTTCTTGCAATTGCATGAGTGGATTCACTGGACTAAAATGTGATATAGATATTGATGAATGCAGAGACCACATGTGTATGCACAACTCAGCTTGTGTTGATGGAATAAACTCATACAAGTGTATCTGTAAGCCTGGTTTCACAGGACAGTTCTGTGAAGTCGACATTGATGACTGCATTCAGCAGCCATGTAAGAATCAAGGTGTGTGTATAGATGCAGTGGATGACTTCAGATGTGTATGTCAGACTGGTTTTACAGGAAAGGATTGTGTGGTTAACATTGATGACTGTGCAAATAATCCTTGTCATCACAATGCCACATGTCTAGATCTTGTCAACAGTTACAACTGCACTTGTCCAACAGGTTATACGGGTAAAGACTGTCATGTGGTCATTAACAACTGTGCTAATCCACTTTGTTTGAATGGTGGAACATGCATCAACAGGCCTGATGGACAAGGATATGACTGCATTTGTCGCAACGGATTCATAGATCCAACTTGTTCATTAAATATGGATGACTGCTCTCCTAATCCTTGTCAGAGTGGGGATTGCATTGATTTGATTGACAATTTTATGTGCAACTGTTCAGGGGGAATCATAGGAAGAACTTGTGCTGGTTCAGTCAATGCATGTAATGCATTCTTTTGTCGCAATGGGGGTACATGCATCTCTAATAATTCTTCATTACATTGTGTTTGTCCAGAGGGTTTCAC